GGATACAAGTACAGAAGATAGGATGATCTTCAGGGGGGTGGATGTGGACTTGATGGGCTGAATGGCCTGCTTCCACACTGTAGGGATTCTTTGATTCTATGTCTTGGAGAATGGATAAATTTGGGCTCAATGTGCTGAGATAAAAATCTCCTGATCTTCTTTCAATATCATGTATATAGAATGGTTAAGGTCATGGGGAGGCCACTTGCCCTATCAAGTCCACAACAAGTCTTTCAACAAGCAATCCAACTTTACAGCCCTCCTGACATATCTGTGCCCTGTTTTTTTTTTACCTCTTTCAAGTATTTAATCAACTCTTTAGAAAGCTACTGTTACATCTATTTCTACCACCCAACTAGGCAATTCCATCCAATCTCCAATCACCAGTTTCAACCATTCAGCCATTGGAAGCAATTGCTCTTTATTTACTCTATTTACATGCCTATAATTTGAAACAGCTTTATAAAGTTGCCTCTTGGTCTTCTCTGCTGTAAAGAGGACACCAACAAAGGATTATTTTGTTCTGGTTTTGCATAATTTCCTGGCTTCTGAGCTCTGTTTCCAAAGCTTGGCAATTCTTCAGATAGATTTATAGACACTAAATGAGCAAGGAATATGGGGAGACAGCAGGAGTATGGCATTCAGATTGAGGATCAGCTATGGTCATAATGAATGGTGGAGCAGGCTCAATGGGTTGAATGGCCTACTAATGCTCTTATTTCCTATGTCCTAGGTTTTATTAACTATTTTGCAAGCTGGTCACGTCACCTGCAAATTTTTTATGCACAGACATCCTATTCTCTCTATTTTTCATTCTCTTTAAGACGGTTTAATTTAGCGTGTATCGTCTCTCCTCAACCTTCCTATCAAAAAGTGACAGCTCACACTTTCCTGTGAGGAATATCATCCATCCTAAAGGACCTAATGGTCTATTCCAGCTCCTACTTTCTATGTTCCATTCCATCATTGCATTAAATCTGCTTGAGGTCTCTTAGTTCGTTCCACACTCTTTACTGCACTTTCAAGTTTGGTATTACATACAAATTTTGTAATTGTCTCCTATATGCCAATCTCAAGTTGTCAATATATGTCAGAAACAGATTGGTTTTAGCACCAAATCCTTGGGGATATATCACTGTATGCCTGCTTACAGTCTGAAAAACTCATCTATTAACCACACCTCTATAGTTTCAGTATCTTCACCAATTTTGTATGCTACCACCATTTTATCCCATGAACCTCAATATTGCTAACAATCCTAAAATTTGGAACTGTGGGATCTTTAACATCAGGCTAAAAGGGCAGTAATGAACTTAGATCATCGAATCCCTACAGTGTGGAAACAGGCCCTTTGGCCCAACAAGTTCACTCTGCCCCTCAGAGCAACCCACCCAGACCCTCATAACCCACCTAACCTACACATCCCTGAACACTATGGGTAATTTAGCATGGCCAATCCACCTAGCCTGCACATCTTTGTACTGTGGAAGGAAACCAGGGCACCCAGAGGAAACCCACGCAGACACAGGGAGAATGTGCAAACTCCACACAGACAGTTGCCCGAGGGTGAAATTGAACCCAGGTTGCTGGCGCTGTGAGGCAGCAATGCTAACCACTGAGCCACTGTGAACATCTGAAAGATGGCACTTGTAAAGTGCCAAACTAGATGACATGGTTCAGTATCGAGTGGGACTTGAACTTACAAAATCTGACTTGTAAGCAGAGGAGAAACCATAAAACGTGCTTCCATGGACCCCCAGGGATTTGGCAGAGATTTTCGAAAGCTTTTGAAATGATTGTTGGCTTACAGGTGGTCTCTCCTGAAAAGTGGGATTTAGTAGCCCATTAGCCTATTATGTCAATCTAAAAGTATTGATTTTCTTTTTAACCCTCCTCCCTCCCCAGTTTTCAAGGATCTAGGCCACAACTACCAAGTGGGATCACACTTCTCAGGCCTTTGTGTCTTTCAGCTAGTCAGTGCTTTGATGCAAGGGAAGCAACATATTTAGGTTGACAGAAAAAAACTATTTGGGCAGGGTGGCTACTATTTGAGGACTACCTGGCATTTCCAAAGTAGCTGCCAACTTTTCCTGATAGACTTGCTATCAAATGCACCTGAAAGCCTACATAATTACATGATCTGTTTATTTATTTCCTTGAAATAAATCAAAGATCATTTTACCTACTGGGTTCATGTTCTTTGTTCCTCTGTATGGTAGGTGAGTGGTGGGTGATACCCTCAGTCACAGGCTCAATCATTTTTCAAGCTCAGAAATGAGAAATAGGAACAGGAGTGAGCCATTCAGCCCCTCAAGCCTGCATTGCCGTTCTATAAGATCATAGCTGATCTGCCTCAGGTCTCAAATCCTCTTTAAGACTAGCTCCTTATGGCTTCCCATTAACATTGAAAATGCATACTGCTATTTACAGCGCTAACAGGTAGCTCACTATGCAGAAGAGCAGGAAATCCTCTACGGCAAAAAATTCCAGAACCCCAGCTCTATGTAACTGGAGTTAATAATCCTTTTAGGTGGCACTGTAATTGGTTGCTCTGTCTGTCTTAAATTCTTCCAAGGGATATGAGTATCTCTGCCAGCGTTTGTTACTAATACCTCAATGCCCTTGAACTGACTGGCTTATTCAGCTAGGACAGGTAAGAGTCAACCTCCCAGAGTCTCATATAGGTCTGACCAAATAAGGACAGCAGATTCCCTTCTCTAAAGGATGTTTGTGAGTTGGAGGGGTTTCAAGGTCAGACTAGTTTTCAATTCCAGATTTTTAATGGGTGAATTTAAAGTTCACCAGCAATGGTGGGATTTGAACCCATTCCCAAGGAGATTAGCCCAGGCCTCTGGATTACTAACCCACTGATATTAACACCACACCACCTTGTTCTGACCACAATGTGTGGATGGGTTGAGGAAATAGCAGTGACTCCTGATTTACAAGAAAGTAGTGTTTGAGTTAAAATATTATCCTCATTGAAATATATTTAGCAGAATACTGCCAACTTTTGTCAACTGCTTGACTACCGAGATTGAGGTCCACCTGAAAATTGGAGCAGGCAAATATTCAGAGGTAATTCAGGGATTACACATTCTTTTCTCAATTTCTGTCCACTTACCTCATGTTCAAATTGAAAAACAGGACAATAAAGAACAGTTTAAAAAAAACCCAAAAAACTGTGGGTGATGGAAATCAGAAAGAATATTTTTTCTGTCCCTGGGAATATATCCTACAAATTTCTTTTGAAATATTTCTATTGCTGATGTACTCTCTCCCACATTTCCACCCTAAACCTTGACAGCAGAATAAGGTCACGAGTGATATCCCAGTCCCCTTACATGACTCTAAGTTTAAACTCAATGCATCAACTGAAATTAATAGCTAGAAATGGTGAAAGTAGAGGTCAGCTATACAGAGACAACCAGATGGAATCTAAAATAAGGCTCTTCACAAGCAAACCAATTGTTTTTTCCAAACTAAAGGCCATTCTGCACTTGAAGAACATTCTTTTGAAATTTGGTTTTAGCCCTTTGCTTTGTGAATGTATGAAAACCAGAGTTCCTGGTGCCAGATGACGGGTTTATTGAAATTCCTCAGCACTATGGAGCAGCTTCACATGATTCAGCTGCAGTCAGGGACCTTTTGTTTTGGCTGAGTTACTGAGCGGCCTGTGTTCAGCATGTCACGCACAGCATTGCAGTTTGGAGAGCCAGACACTGTGGAGATAATTATCGTTTCCCCTCTCCTCAGTGTCTTTAAAATGCGTTTTAAAATAGTGTGAGGTTTTATTAACCACTGAAGGTCATTGAACAAGTTCAAAAAAACCTGCAAGATTGGATGAGTTGCATGACTAGATTCACAAAAGATATGCATATGTTGAGCATGGTAAAGACAGCAATACGTGTATGAAAAGATTAAGGATAAAAGCACATTGGAATCTTAAGGTGTAGTAATACCGGAGGTTTGTCATCAGATTATAAGGGCATAGGTTGTATAGTACAATGACATGAGTAGATTTCCTGATGCAGTTTTTCACATTTATGATACCTCAACTTTATACCAGTTCTTTCCTCCATTTAACACAACATACTACAGTGATGTATAGCCAAGAGCTCATAATTTCCACTCCATATTTCCCAAACACCTCAAAGCTTGCAGAAAACACCGATATTTCCTCCCCAAACCACCAATTCTCAGTAATATAAATTATATGTTTCTCTTCTTCTTGGCCTCGTAAGATTCTTGCATTCAAAACAAAATTGTGTAAGGAAATAACTTGAATCATTTGGGTCATTTGCACATGCTGATTGCGTGCTTTTTATGCAAATATCAGGGCTCCATTGCTGAACTTTCTACTATTTGGTCAATTTTCACTGGTACCATTTTCACTGGTTTGCAGTTTTTTAATTTGTTAACATTGAAAGCTCGCTAATTTAGTCGCCAGCTGGTTGGCCAATTCGATTTCATACTTGTGACATTTTCAAGTTATGATATCATAAATGTGGCAAGATATAGAAGTCTGGGAAATGTGACACAGTCAAGTTGGTGACAGGGGTGATCAGGATCGCAGGGAATGGGGTATGTTGATGGTGGTGTTGGAGTCAGACCCTTTCTCCTCTTAGCTCCACAATAGGGTATGTCAAATAATGTTAGCCTTACATTTTGGATAACAGATTCCAGTGCTCATTCTAATGACAGTGTTGGGGGCGCCTGAAGAAACTGACCACAACATGCACATGGCAAGCTGAAGTTATTTGCACTGCAATTTGGAAAACAGATCTAAAGAAACATTGAGTCCTTGATTTGTGCATGTCATAGTCCTAAACAAAATTTCAGACCTTAGCTATCGACTGAATAGCCATAACAAACATGGGAGTAGCACAATTTTAGCACGGGATAAGCGGGTGCTTAATACCAGCTGCATTGGACCCTCAGCGCAATCGAATTTCTAGGCCTAGACATTGAATTATACAGATTGCTTAATAAAGCCCTACCCGATTATCCTCTTGCAGTTCCCACTCTGGCATGAAGGTATGATGATGGATGCCGCTGGTACAGTTAGAGAACTGGAACAGACTTGCAAACATACGCTTGTTCTCGGTAGTATCTGGAAAAATTGGATCCTGGAAATTTATTCCGTGTGGCACAATATTGTAATTCTCATCCAACCTGAAACAGAATTAAATTTCATAATTCTATTCATACACCATACCCTTTGCCATTTGTCAAAGTTCTGTGATGCTCCAGCAGCTGTTAGTGTTCTTACTTATGAGAGTGCTTACAAAAATTGCACAGTCACATGTTAAACTCCAGACTCCCTCCAACATGCACAAGATTTTGACTCCAAATATACCAATATATACCAGGACCACTGCCTGTTCACCATCTCTCCTCAGAATGCCCTGCAGCCACTCCAAGACCACTAAGACTTTGGCACACCAGGGAGACAACACAGAAATGTCTGTCTTTCCCTTGCTGTTGAATCCCACGCCCACATTCCCCAAAAATCTGGAAGTTAAGAGTTTACTGATGACCATGAATTCACTGTTGATGAATCTGGAAAACCCCATCTGCTTCACTAATGTCCTTCAGAGAAGGAAATCTGCCAACCTCACCTGGTCTGGCCTACATGTGACTCCAGACCCACAGCAATGCGGTTGACTTTCAGTTGCCCCCTGAAATGGCCTAACCAACCATTCAGTTCTATAAATAGGTACAAAGTCTAATTTTCTCTCTAATGGCATTGTGGATCAACCCACAGCAGGTGGACTGCAGCGGTTCAAGATGGCAGCACACCACCACCTTCTCAAGGGCAACTAGAGGTGGGCAAGAAATGCTGGCCAGCCATCCCACAAATGAACAAAAATAAAACACTATACCATTGCCATTCTTCTTCCTCCCCACTTGTGCACCAGAGCCACCATGGTATCTTGGATTTGGCTTCCCCAGCTATCCTCTCAGAGGTTGTCCCTCTGAACAGTATCCACAATGGTACCTCTTTTAGACAGGAGGGTGGGTGGCCATGAAGGACACCTGGAGTCCCTGCCTTCGTCCACTATGCCTGGTGGTCACTCATTCCCTTTCTGCCTGTTCAGTCTTGACCTGCTGTGTGATTACCTCACGGAATGTGTTAACTAAGACAATCTCAGCATTTCCAATACTCCACAGTGAGTCCAGCCACCACTCCAACTCCAAAATGCCAATAACTGCAGCTGGCCATGCTTCCTACACATGTGGTCACCAAGGTCATTGGAACTGTCCATGACTTTCCACTTAGGCAGGGGGAGCATGTCACGCTGTGACCTCCACTATGATAACTTTCTTTTAGACTAGGCTTTGTTATATATTGGTACCAACACCTTAGGTATGAAGAAAGGATGAGGACCCACAAACACAAGTAAATTGAAAAGTAGGACCTCAAAGCTACTAATCTTAGGATTACCGCCAGTGTCGCATGCAACAAGAACAAAAATAACAGGATATGCCAGATGAACACATGGCTAGAGAAATGGTGTAGGAGGGAGGGATTCTGATTCCTGGGATATTGGGACCAGTTTTGGAAGGTGTGACTGGTAAAGCAGGGTGAGTTATATCTGGGCAGGACCGGGACCAATGCCCTTGAGGGGATGTTTGCTAGTGACTCAAAATTGAGTCAATCTTGCATCAGTAAACTTCCTCCCTGTGCATCTAAACCTGTACATTAGTAGATCATTGGTAAACTACTCTGAGAATGGCTTCTTCTATTTTGGAATATTATAGCAAGGATGCCAAGACAATGAAGATTGTTGAAAAGAGATTCATTAAGATTATTGAAATAGCTATGATGAAAAATAGATAAGCAAGAGCTGTATTTATAAGAACAAAGAACAGGCTATTTGATAGATATTTATTCCTTTAAATAATACTAATTATGCTAGGGACTTTATTTCACTTCAAACACTCCCAGCAAGTTCTTGCCTTCAGTCTTTGGAGATCTTACTTTAAGTCTCAACATTATTTCCCTTACTTTATTTTTATTACCTTATTATAATGGTCCTACCTTTCTCAATTGAGTCAAAGTACACCTACTTGTTTAAAAATACACATTGTTCTAATTTACTGCAATTTGTAGACAATCCTTAACAGCCGTCCAAATAATGAACTTACAGTTTTGCAGTGATGTCCCTATTTGCTTTCTCATTCTGTTTTGAACTCAGTGCTGCTCCCTCACAGGTCCCATCACCTCCATTCTCCCAAAGTCAGTGGTATAGGCTTCGAGCATTAATCTCAATTTATATACTCTTGCTCTGCACTGCTGCCTCACAGATCCTGCTGTGTCTCCAATGCCTCAGGTAATGGTTTAGCCTCGAGCCTCAGGCATGACTTATACCCTCCCACACCACACAAGAACCCCCAAATGCCTTCATGCTGCAGCGTTCTGCTGTCCTTCTCATTTAAATAATATTCAGCTCCTTTATTCCTCTTGTCAAAGTGTATAACCTCACATTTTGCCACACCACATTTTTGACTACTCACTTGATCTCTCAATAACTCTTTGTGTTATCCTCACCACTTGCCTTTCCACCTATTTTTGTGCTATCTGCAAACTTGTCTGTAGTACATTCACTCCCCTCATCCGAGTCATTAATATATATTGCAGATAACTGTGCCCCAACATTGTTCTCTGTGGCAATCCACTAGTTACAAGTTGCAATCTGAAAAATTTTCCAGCTCTCTATATTTTATTAGCTAGGCAATCCTCTCTCCATGCTAACAGATGACTTCCAACATTATGGGCTTCTTTCCCATTGAGTAGCCCAACATCCGGTACCTTATCAGTTACATTTTGGAAATTCACATATATTAAATCCACTGGTTCTCCTTTGTCCATCCTGCTTGTTACCTCTTCAAAGATCTTAATAAATTTGACAAGCATGATTTTCCCTTCATGAAGCCATGCTGCCTCTGCTTGATTGTATCACATATTTCAATTATTATGAGATAGTAGGAACTGCTGATACTGGAGAATCTGAGATAACAATTTCTGAAGAAGGGTCCAGACCCGAAACATCAGCTTTCCTGCTCCTCTGACGCTGCTTGGCCTGCTGTGTTCATCCAGCTCTACACCTTGTTATCTTTCAATTATTATGATTTTGGTGAGCAGTTTTGTACTTCAATCTAAAGTAAATATTTTAGTTGTTTTAACTGATATATGCTCAGGTCTTATGTTAAATTTTTGGTCATTTCAGAAGAGTGCAAAGTTAGGCTAATCCTGTATGCAGACAACAAATAGGTTGTTTGCAAGTTATTCTGATTATGTAAATACAGGCTACTAAAAGATACTGGATGGAATTTTGAATGGATGATACCTGTTGAAACAATGGGTAGCAGATCACAAAACCACTGAAAGCTTCAACTGCCCTCACCAAGGCTCTTTAGCTGAATTTCTCTCATCTGTCAAAATCCACTGCTTAACCTCAAAGTTTCTGATTCATACCCTTTTTATGCTCTCGAATGATGTTAATACTGGGAAAACACATGATAAACACCACTCAAGGACTTCCAGAAATTTAGCCCTGAGAATTTAAACAGATGTATTTGGAAGTTTATCCCAAGGTTAAAACAAGGTTATTAGATTGCTGCAAAGAGATTTTTTAGCTGATGACTAATCAATGCGATTCAGAAAAGTATGATTATTGAGTCAAATGATGTGGTTTGGTGCTTTATGCCCTATCCAGCAGTTTTGCTGTGTGATTGATGGTATTAGAGCGGCATATTTTACAGGGTGGTCTCACTGTTTGATTAATGCTGTATTCTTTACCCAGAGGTCTGACTGTATGATTGATGATTTTACCAAACTAAAGCAAAGTTTGACCAAATCTGTTGAGAAGTTTGATTAAAACAGGGGGACAGCTAATTCTAAAAACTTGGCTGCCTTGTTTAAAGTAAAAAGGACTTAGTCTATACTCTAGAAATATCAAAACATAATTTATTAACAAGAGGGTTCATTCAATGCAATTTGAGTGCATTCTATAATGGCATTTTGGGGTCTGGATAATGGTAGTGTTTCTCTAAATGATTAGAAAAAGCACATTTTAGAGCATATGGCAATAATTATTCCAATTTTCAAATAATAATGCTGAGTACACCAAATAATTCTTTTCAGACTCACGTTAGACTCTCCAGAGGAAAATCATGTACAATATTACTTTGTTTACTGTGGTACTGTCATATAGGAATTGTGTGGTGAGCCTTGCAATTACCTTTTGAAGATGTAAATAATTAAGTTACTTAAATGATCTTATTAATGATTATAATTATTATTATGCCATTAACATTAATGTGACAATAACCAGCATTACTTGGTCATAAGTTCATAGAGAGGTCTTTGACTGAGTGTTTGATGTTGTAAAATGAACTGATTTAGGAGTATAATCTTACAGTGGTTGAATAATAGGCTGTTGAATCGCTCAGAGTCTCATGGTGTTGGGAAAGTTGGACTTACTGATGCTAGTCTTGTATAGCATTGTTATATCATCCTGGCATGGAGATAACCCTTTGATAAATGTTAGAACAGTAAAGGCTGCAAATAGCAGCAATAAGCAGGTTTAGACATTCAGCTAGTCATGAATAGACAGGTCAACCTGGCATAGTAGCATTAATCTGTTATCCTGTGCCACTGGGCTGATGTTGCTTTGCTAGAATATATAACTGTGAAGCAGTTGTCTGTAATAAGCTAGACCTGTGGCTGCTACTGCCTTGAGAAGAAGGAAGGGCATGTGGAAAGTAAAACTCAGAAGGTCTGCAGAACCAAGAGAGATGCGGACAGACAGGTAGATAGAAGGTGAAATGCGAGCTCCTAAAACCCCTGGGTACCAATGACCTTCTGGATTCTTCCCCTCCCCTCCCCTCTTCCGCTTTTCCCTTGACTCTATCTCTTCTTCTAATCCCACCCCTTGCTAGGTATTCATCATAATCTTTGACCATCCACTTTTCTGATCTGGGCAGATTGATCTAGTCTCAATAAAGGACTTAATTTTATCTCTTTATGCCCCCACCTCAATGAATTTCAGACATGACATGACCCTTATTCACTCCTTGGGATGTGGATGTTGCTGACTGGCCAGCATTTATTGCCTATCCCTAGCTGCCCTCGAGAAAGTGGTGGTGAGCTGCCATCTTGAACCACT